GTGCGTGTGCGTGTGCGTGTGCGTGTGCGTGTGCGTGTGCGTGTGCGTGTGCGTGTGCGTGTGCGTGTGCGTGTGCGTGTGCGTGTGTGTGTGTTTTTGTGTGTGTGTGATTTTTTTGTGTGTAAGGGTGTGTTTTTGTGTGTGTGTGTGTGTTTGTGTGTGTCTTTTTGTGTGTGTGTTTTTGAGTGTGTTTTTGTGTGTGTGTGTGTTTGTGTGTATGGTTTTGTGTGTGTGTTTGTGTGTGTGTTTTGTGTGTGTTTTTCTGTGTGTGGGTGTGTCTGTGTGTGTGCGTGGGTGAGTGGGTGGGTGTGCGTGTGTGTGTGTGTGCGTGCGTGCGTGCGTGCGTGCGTGCGTGCGTGCGTCTGCGTGCGTGCGTGCGTGCGTGTGCGTGCGTGCGTTGTGTGTGTGTGTGTGTGCGTGTGTGTGTGTGTGTGCGCGTGCGTGCGTGCGTGGTGCGTTTTGTGTGTGTGTGGCGTGTGTGGTGTGTGTGCGTGTGCGTCCGTGTTTGCCCGTGTGCCGTTGCGCGTTGCGCGTGCGTGCGCGTGTGCGTGTGCGGGTGTGCGCCGTGTGTGTGCGTCGTGCGTGTGCGCGTGGCGGTGCGTGTGCGTGTGCGTTGTGTGTGTGTGGTGTGCGTGTGGCGTGATGTCGTGTGCGTGTGGGTGTGGGGGGTTTGGGGGTGTGTGGGGGTGGGGGGTGTGGGGGTGGGGGGTGTGGGGTATGGGGGTGTGGGGTGGGGTGTGGGTGTGTGGGTGTGTGGGTGTGTGTGTGGTGTGTGTGCGTGTGTGTGTGTGTGCGTGTGTGTGTGTGTGCGTGTGTGTGTATGTGTGTGTGCGTGCGTGCGTGCGTGCGTGCGTGCGTGCGTGCGTGTGCGTGCGTGTGCGTGCGTGTGCGTGCGTGTGCGTGCGTGTGGCGTGCGTGGCGTGTGTGTGTGTGTGTGTGTGTGCGTGTGTGTGTGTTTTTGTGTGTGTGTGTGTTTGTGTGTGTTTGTGTGTTTTGTATTATTGTTTCCACGATGGCCCCGGGACGGACCAATCTTGCCCTAAGACGGCACAAGCCCCCAGCACGGCCCAAAAGGGTCCCAAGAGAGCCACTGATGACCCACAACTGTTGACGAAGTTGTGCAGTCTCGCCTCTTCGGGCTTCCGTGAGCCAAAGACGGGTTCGGAGGCCTCCAAACGGCCTCCCGACGGCCCAAGATGACCCCAAGATGGCACAAGACGCCTCCAAGACGGCCCCAAGACGGCCCAGGGAGGCCCTCAAACGGCCCAGCAGACACAAAAGACTACCCTACAGGGCCCAGGACGGACTCCGAAGGCACTAGACGGCCCAAGAGCGCCCGCAGATGGCCCAAGGAGCTCCCAAGAGACCCCAACAGGCCCCCAGGACAACCCCCAAGAGGCCTCAAGAGGCTCCCAAGAGGCTCCCCAAGAGACCGAGGGGTGAAGGTTACGACGACGAATACGAGGACACCCCGACACGGCACGGAACAGCGTGTCACACGCTACGTCTCTACCGAGGCTAATGACGAAAAGGTCATCGTTCTCCAGCTGTTTTCCTTATAGGTACCTCTTCCCTGACGCTTCCCCTGACGTGTTGGTAGGGCGGGCCAGGCGTTTCGCCTGAGACGTCCTCACCACTTATGATCCTGAACCTTGAGATTTGCAACAGCTTCAAACATGCAGGGCAGCTAGTTTTCTAAGTGTGGCTATCGCCTTAGCGCCGCGCACTTCCGTCTTAAAATGTTCAGCAGCTTCAAGGATGCAGGATTGGACTTTTCAAACTATGGCTCGCCCCTTAGCACCGAACACATGCGTCATAAAAGTGTGCAACAGCAGCACGGCTGGAGGGGGCTGGTTTCCTGAATGTTGCTCTCGTCTTAGCGCCGCGCACCTTCGTCTCGAAAGTTTGCGACTGCGGCTCTCACCTTGGCGTCGCAAACATGCGCCATACAAGGTTGCACCTGTTTGAAGGGCTCGCACGGTGGAAGTCCCCGGAAGTGTGCGCTAGCATGTTTTAGAATTGTCAGGACGTAAGGATCGCCTTGATTCGCTGCGTCGAATTCCCAAAAATGGTGCTCTGACACGATTTAGGATTGTCAGGACGCTACTGTCACGTCGATTCGAGGCGTTGAAGTCGCAGAAATGGTGTTTGGGGGGTGGGTCGGGATTTTGACACGGTTATCTTCCAGTGGGACACTTCGTGCAATGAATCACATTTTTGTCGGCACCTACGAAGAGGGCACTTGGAGGGAGGGTTGATGCAAAATCGTTGATACGCCGTGGGTTTCCACTGGTCCACCCTCTCAGCATGATGACAATGATGATGATGATGATGATGATGATGATGATGATGATGATGATGATGATGCTGATGGTGGTGATGGTGGTGATGGTGGTTATCAAGATGATGATACATATGATGATCCTGATGATAGTGGTAGTGGCTGATGGTGCAGACAATGATGAGAATGGTGCTGGTGCTGATGCTGATGACGATGGTGGTGATGATGATGCTGATGATGACGGTGACGATGACGATGATGATGATGCTGCTGCTGATGATGACGCGGATGGTGATGATAATGGTGATGGAGATGATGACGATGTTGATGATGCTGATGATGACGATGACGATGACGATGACGATGACGATGACGATGACGATGATGATGATGCTGTTGATGATGACGCGGATGATGATGGTGATGGTGATGGTGACGATGATGATGATGATGATGATGATGGTGATGATGATGATGGGGATGGTCGTGGTGGTGCGGTTGCTGATGATGGTGATGGTGCTGGAGTTGATGACAATGCTGATGATGGTGAGAACGCTAATGAACATGACAATGACGATGATGTTGATGATCACACTCATGATGATGGTGATGATGCTGGTGATGATGATAGTGATGATAAGGATGACGATAGTGATGATGATGCTGCTGATGATGACGAGGATGCTAACGATGACAACGACGACGACGGCGTTGACGAGGAGGACGAGGAGAAGAAGGAAGAGGAGGAGGAGAAGGAGGAGGAGTAAGGAGGAGGAGGAGGAGCACGAGTAAGGAGGAGGAGGAGGAGCACGGAGGGAGAGAAGGAAGACGCGGGGCGCTACTGACTCAAAACGGGGGCCCAACACCACAGGATGGACGAGGGGGAAATGGATGATGAAAAAGCCCCCAGAATGGAAAAGTGGGCAAGGGGAACGGGAGCGGGGATGGAGGAAAAGGAGAAGGAGGAGGAGGAAGAGGAGGAGGAAACAGAACTGGAGGAGGAGGAGGAGGAGGAGGCGGAAATGGAGGAGAAGCCAATGCGACCCAGGGGTAGCAGCAGCAGCGGCAGCAGGAAGAGGGAGGGAAGAGGGAGGGAGGAGACGCGGCCGGCCCAGGGCCCCGGCAGCTCGGCCACGTAGCCGTGGAGGTCGCAGACATAGATTAACGGGCGGGGGTCGGGCAACTTGGCCTTCGTGGAAGCGGAACCTCCGCCTCCGCCCTGCTTTCTCCCTCTTCCTCCCTTCCTCCTCCTCCTCCCCCTCCTCCTCCTCCGCCTCCTCCTCCCTCCCTCTGCTCCTCCTCCTCCTCCTCCTCCTCCTCCTCCTCCTCCTGCTCCTGCTCCTGCTCCTGCTCCTGCTCCTCCTCATCCTCCTCCTCCGCCTCCTCCTCCCTCCCTCTGCTCCTCCTGCGTGAGGTGACCCTTTGGACCCGTGATCCGAGCTTTGGCAGAGATTTGTTCGGATAAGTTGCTGCCTGTCAGAAGATCGGGCGAAGTTCCGGTGATGGTAGGTAGGAGACTGGGGGTGGGTGGAGGGGTGGAAGTGCAGAACAGTAAGGTGCTGTCGTTGTCTGCGCCGCCTCTCTCAGCCACCTCTCGTTGTGCTTGCTCGCTCTCTGGCGGCACGCGACCCGGAGGGCTTGCTCGCGCTTTTCCTTGTTCGCTACGATATTATATCCGTGCTTTCTCGCTCTCCAGCAGCCTGTCTTGCACGGGGGTGGCTCGCACTGTGTTGTCGATGTCCTTCCTTTCACTTCGACGGCCTGGTGACTCAGGACCGACGCAATTGCTGCCCTCTCTGGCCTCGATTGCGATCTTGGTGCTTCTCTCTTCGTTCAGTCTCTGGCAGGGACTAGCGTTGGAGACGGCAGGAAGTCTCACTTTCCCCGTTTCCTTTCCTAGCGATTAGTTTACTCTGGTCGGGACTGAGGGTGGAGTTTAGGTCTCTTGGTGGGGACGAGGATTGCACTGTGGCGTTGGTGCAGGCACGGGCCGCAGGTCGAGCGTGCGAATATCGTGCACTCCCGCTGGCCCCTGCCTCGCACCAGCCCGCTAAGTTGGCCCTTCGCAGGCCATCTCACCTGCTCCCCTCTTTGATATACCTCCTCTTGCCTCTTCCCTCCTCCTGCGGCGTTGTGATGCGCCTTGAGCGCCTTCCGACGATGAGGGGGGGGGGTATGGGTTAGGTTGGGCGGAGCATGTACACCTTGGCGCCCCTGCTGCCAGACACCGCACGTTTCTGCCAGCAGCTAATGAGTGCCGCTCCAAGCTGACCGCCCCCTCGGCGAATCAAAGCAAAAAATCACAAAAAGTCTGCTCCTCCTCCTCCTCCTCCTCCTCATCATCATCATCATCCTCCTCCTCCTCCTCCTCCTGCTCCTGCTCCTGCTCCTGCTCCTGCTCCTGCTCCTCCTCATCATCCTCCTCCGCCTCCTCCTCATGTTCCTCCTGTTCCTC